TAATTTTCAGTAGCATCATGAATGAATTCAACAATATAACCAGCACCTAAAGCATTCTTTTCATGATCTACAAGTATAGAATTTTTACTACTCTCCACATAAGCAAAATTCTTCTCATCAATAGTAGTGGGTGCAAACTCAACAAAATAATTATCATGTGAGGCATAATCCAATTGAAAACTAAAATCATGATGACAAGTTTCATAGTTATCATTATTCCTAATAGCATACAGGTCATCACAATAATCATCATAGATAGCAACTTTGTTCTCATAATCAATTGGAACCTTTTCCGAAATAGTGGATTCATCACTAAATAAAGTCGACACTCTTCCAAACCCACTTTCATCAATATAATCATCATAAATAGGAGGCATGCTATCATCATAATAAATTTTCTCATCAAAACTTGGGGGACAAAAAATAACATATTCATCAAACATAGCTTCCCCAAGCTTGTGGCTTTGCATATCATTAGCATCATGGATATTCAAGGAATTCATACTAACAACATTGCAATCATGCTCATCATTCAAATATCTAGTACCAAACATTATAATGCATTCTTCTTCTAGCACTTGAGAACAATTTTCCTTTCCGGCATTCTCACGAAAGATATTAAAAATACGAAGCGTATGAGACAAGCTTAACTCCATTTTTTTGTAGTTTTCTTTTATAAACTAAACTAGTGATAAAACAAGAAACAAAAAGATTTGATTGCAAGATCTAAAGATATACCTTCAAGCACTCACCTCCCCGGCAACGACGCCAGAAAATAGCTTGATGTCTACTACACAACCTTCTTCTTGTAAACATTGTTGGGCCTGCAAGTGCACAGGTTTGTAGGACAGTAGCAAATTTCCCTCAAGTGGATGACCTAAGGTTTATCAATCTGTGGGAGACGTAGGATGAAGATGGTCTCTCTCAAACAACCCTGCAACCAAATAACAAAGAGTCTCTTGTGTCCCCAACACACCCAATACAATGGTAAATTGTATAGGTGCACTAGTTTGGCGAAGAGATGGTGATACAAGTACAATATGGATAGTAGATATAGGTATTTGTAATCTGAAATAATAAAAACAACAAGGTAACTAATGGTAAAAGTGAGCGTAAACGGTATTGCAATGATAGGAAACAAGGCATAGGGTTCATACTTTCACTAGTGCAAGTTCTCTCAACAATAATAACATAGATAGATCATATAACAATCCCTCAACATGCAACAAAGAGTCACTCCAAAGCCACTAATAGCCGAGAACAAACGAAGAGATTATGGTAGGGTACGAAACCACCTCAAAGTTATTCTTTCGGATCAATCTATTCAAGAGTTCGTACTAGAATAACACCTTAAGACACAAATCAACCAAAACCCTAATGTCACCTAGATACTCCGTTGTCACCTCAAGTATCCGTGGGCATGATTATATGATATGCATCACACAATCTCAGATTCATCTATTCAACCAACACAAAGTACTTCAAAGAGTGCCCCAAAGTTTCTACCGGAGAGTCAAGACGAAAACGTGTGCCAACCCCTATGCATAGGTTCATGGGCGGAACCCGCAAGTTGATCACCAAAACATACATCAAGTGGCACGTGATATCCCATTGTCACCACAGATAAACACGGGAAGACATACATCAAGTGTTCTCAAATCCTTAAAGACTCAATCCGATAAGATAACTTCAAAGGGAAAACTCAATCCATTAAAAGAGAGTAGAGGGGGAGAAACTTCATAAGATCCAACTATAATAGCAAAGCTCGCAATACATCAAGATCGTGCCGTAGAGAGAACACGAGAGAGAAAGATCAAACACATAGCTACTGGTACATACCCTCAGCCCTGAGGGTGAATTACTCCCTCCTCGTCATGGAGAGCGCCGGGATGATGAAGATGGCCACCGGTGAGGGATCCCCCCTTCGGCAGGGTGCCGGAACAGGCTCCCGAGAGGTTTTTGGTGTCTACAGAGGCTTGCGGCGGCGGAAATCCCCATCTATCTTCTGTGTCGATGTTTTTAGGGTACGTAGGCTTATATAGGCGAAAGAAGTCGGTCGGGGGAGCCTCGAGGGGCCCACGAGAGGGCAGGGCGCACCCCCTGTCTCGTGGCCTCCTCGATGATCCCTTGGCTTGCACTCCAAGTTCCTGGGATTGGTTCTGTTCCAAAAATAACTTTGTCGAAGGTTTTATTCCGTTTGGACTCCGTTTGATATTCCTTTTCTTTGATATACTGAAACAGACAATAAAACAGCAATATGGGTTGGGCCTCCGGTTAGTAGGTTAGTCCCAAAAATGATATAAATGTGTAAAATAAAGCCCATAAACATCGAAAAGGGGTAATATAATAGCATGGAACAATAAAAAATTATAGATACGTTGGAGACGTATCAAACCTCATCCCTACTCATTATCCTGCCCAACTTCTCACGCACTTTTCGTTGGACGTGCCATTTGCAGCATCTATGCATCGTGTTGGGCAGGACTTGAGATATGGCAGTTTCCATGGCCTTGTCCTGGTCGGTCATAATGTTCAATGGGTGTTCTTGTTCATGGCAAGCAAAAAATGTTGGAACACCCACTTGAAAGTTTCAATCTGTTCGTTTGGCAGCAATGCACAACCCAGCAACACCATTTGCAACTGGTTCTTCACTCCAACAATCGGAGTGAATGGCATGTTGTATTGACTTGTGCAAAATGTTGTATCAAAGAAGATACAATCTTTGTACTTGGGTACAATGCCCTTGTCCTCCCATCCACCCAAAAGAGACCTGTGACAGAGTTGGTCTCCTCGTCAACCGTCTTTGCATAGTAGAACTGAGGGTTCTCAGCTTGCCGCCTTTCAAAGTACTGAATTGTGAAATCCATGTCTCGGAGGTTTAGGTTTTGTCACAGATTGGACCGAAAGTTTGAAACATCCCTCTTGACATATGGTAGTGTCCTGCAGTCTCCGCCACGCACCCTTCCAAGCATTCCCATGCACGACGAAGTTGAGAAGTTCACATCATGCATAGTCATTATGAGATCCTTATCTTCTTCCAGGATTTTGCGGTGTGAGCGGTAGTAGCGTACAAGCTCCGGCTGTGGCATTAGAGGGTGCGTATGCTCTGCAACAAAATGTGATACATCCCATTTATTGCCTCTGACCCCAACAATCAAGTGAGCTTTGCAATCATGTCGCAACAGCCGATTCTTTTGACGCTTGTTGCCAACATCCACTTCAAACCAATTCTGTGTGCTAGACGAAGCTCCTCCCATTGAGATCACTTCAAAAGCAGTGCTACTGTCCCCTTTACTTTCTGGCTTCCCTGCGTGCACACACTGGAAAACCTTCTTGATAAGTGTCGGAGGACCTTTCTTTTGGCTTTTTTAGAAGCGCAAATGCGTGCGCCAAAGCCCATCTTGAAGGCATATTCATTGTAAAATTCTCTGGCATCATCAATAGAGTCAAATTCCATGCCAACATAGGGCATAAGCGGCTGAGATGAAATCTCATCGTCCTCTTGATCATCATCATACATTGCAGCGGTTGAGTTGTGCCCGGCATCTGAATTCATTCCTCCATTTTGTCGCAACATATGGTTGTGCATAGCTCTCCTCACCTCGCGTCTTTTCACCAGCACCCTGAAAGTCCAAGAAAGGTCAATACATCAGGGATTTTAGTACTAGTACCATTTTACTTCTATGCAACAATATTGTAAATGCTCAATTATATCAGTTTTTTATTTTTCTCTAGTATGAAACATACTAATACCATTTCAACAGAAGTCATTATCATTTTTGTTACTTTTTAAATTCTAAAACATTCTTCCAGTAAAACAAAGTAGAAGAAGGAAGAAGCAAGAAGCAATCATGCACAATTTTCAGTTCAACACTTCATAATGGAAACAATGGTTTCTGAATTTTTCAACAACAACAATCTCAATCTACTATACCAGTGTAAACATCAAGGCAATGAAATGCAACTTTTCTGAACTTCTTCATTTTTTGCAGAAGGAATTAAGTTAATGAAACTAAACTTTCTGAACTTTTGGTATTTTTTTGCAGCAACCTACAGTTTTGTTTCTGAATTTTGTTTTCAAATGCACCACTGGATACATAATACTAATGAAACCGAACTTTTCTGAAACTTCTTTCTGAATTTTTCATCAACAGTATACTGAAGCTCCATCAACAGTCAAATTACTAACTGAAGCTCCATTGCAACAAGAAATACAAGCATGTGCGCTAGGGGTTTTCTAAGGAACTTACCCAATTTGCAGAGGAATTGTCAGCGGATGGTGGTTCTTCTGGGAAGAACACCGGCGGATTTAGGTAGTTGCTCGCCGCAGGTACTTGGTAGCTCGCCGGAGTTGGATCCGTCCACCTGGATGCAGCGGATCCATGGGAGGTTGGAGCTGAGAGGGAGGCGAGCATATCCCTTTAGATATGCTGCGCCATCGGGGTCGATGCAGGGGGTCGGGGGAGACGTGCTACGCTGATTCGGGGCGGCGGGGCACTACCGGATCTGCTGCAGATGTTGAGTTCTCCGACGGAGCGGCACCGGAGGGTGGGCCGTTGAGGGTGGGGGAGCGGCAGCCGCCGCCGCCCGTGATCTGCGGGGCCAGGTGAGGTGCGGTCTGTTTTGGCCTTGTTGCGTTGCAGCTTGAGCTTTGTTGCAACGGTTTGTCGGTGTCAACGACCAGTCCTAACCGAGTTTGGATCTGGATCGGATGGCGGGGACTCGTCCGATCGGACGGTTACGGAGGCGACTTAAAACTGGCACAAATAAGTCGACTTATTTGTAGCGTCCGCCAAAATAAAAATACAAAGTTTATGTTCTATAGAATCATGTTTGCTTATGAGGCACGCCAAGCTTTTCCTTTTGCCTTTGTTTGTCAGGCAGAGGCAGGGCAGAGCTGCAGTCCACAGTACCCGCTGCCCATGTCCATGTGCCAGGACACAAGTCTACAGTAGCCAACAGCCCAACACATCCATCCATCCATCCATCCACCGGCCGCCATGCCGCTCCGGCGCCTCCTGGACCTCTCCGCCACCGTCTCCGACCTGCTCCGCCGCTCCCTCTCCACCGCCGCCGCCCCCTCGCACCCACCATGGGCGATCGTCGACTACACGTCCATGGTCGACCGCTCCTCGTCGGCCCCGGGCGCGTGCTTCCACCCCGTCGCGCCCCCGGGCATCTCCCACGTCACGGCCCCGGCGCACCTCGTCAACCCCAGGGCGCGCCCCGCCCCCGACACCAACGTCGTCCAGGTCCTCTTCGGCAACGTCGGCGCCGCCAGCGGCGACGGCCACCTCCTCCTCAGCTACCACGACCTCCGGGCGGAGGGCCCCTGCACCACCTGGGACCTGTCCGCGCCCCCCGAAATCCAGCGCTTTGTCTGCAACCCCCTCACCGGCCAGATGCTCCGCCTGCCGGACATCGGCGGCTCCAGGAGGACCCTCGTCTTCCACCACATGGGCCTACTCACCCAGGCCGACGGCTGGCTCGGGCGCGGGCCGCCCGACAGATTCGCCGTCGCCGAGCTCGCCTTCCATGTCGCCGGCGCCGGCCTCGAGCGGTTTCTCTCGGAGAAAGGGGAGTGGGAGACGGTGATGGGCGTGCCGTGCGGACCGCCGCCCCCGCGCGGGATGGAGGTGAACCAGGAGACGGTTGCCTTCGGCGGCCGCCTCTGGTGGGTCGACCTGACCTCGGGCGCCGTCTCCGTCGACCCCTTCGCCGACCGGCCGGAGATCCGCTTCGTCGAGCTGCCCAGCGGCAGCGTGCTGCCTGCGCGTGCTCGTAGTACAGAAGAGGATGGAGATCTCAGGAAGGTCGAGGACCGGTGGCTCTTCTTGCGGGAGGTGGCCAAGCACCGGCGCATCGGCGTGAGCAAGGGGCGGCTGCGCTACGCCGAGGTCTCTCCTCACGACCCGTTCCTGCTCAGCTCCTTTGCGCTCGACGGCGACGAGGGCAGTGGCTGGACGCTGGAGCACCAGGTGGAGCTCAGGCAGGTCTTGGCGGACGGAGGCTACCCGTGGCAGGACAACTCGGCGCAGGCGGCGCCGCAGATCGTCGTTCTTGACCCGCTCAACGCCAACGCCGTCTACCTCAAGGTCGGCGAGCACGTCGTCGTCGTGGACATGCACAACGGCAAGGTGACAGGGGCCTCTCCGCTTCAGGACGAGTACTCTCTTGTGCCGTGCGTGCTCCCGCCGTGGCTTGCATCCAGCACCATCCCTACGGCAGGTAATAATCTAAATCAGTCACCTTCTTGTTCCAAGTTCTAATTAACTGCCAGAAATTCTTGAAAAAGAGCTCTTTAAGATTGGAAACAAACAAACAAATCACTTGCTGGTGCATTGCTTGAACTGAATTTTGTGGAAACAAGCAAATGGATGAATTTTGTGACCGGAAACAATCTTGTGGCGCGTGTCATATATACATGGTGGTGACGAATTGATCGTTGCTACTAAGATTTCACACATAAATAGTATAATCAAAAACTAGGACTTGTGCTAATTTTTTGTGGAAACAAACAAATGGATGAATTTTACTGGTGTTATTGATCTAGTCAGGCATCAGACCACCTTGCTGTACTGTACTTCGCAGTTCACTGCTTGTTAGTGTGTACGAGCGTGCAGTATGTTTGTTAGTCAAACACAGACAGACCACCTTGCTGGAAGAAGTTATTTCTTTTTTTCTGCGGGTACTGGAAGAAGATGTAGTCTGTGTGTTCTGTTTTGGACAGTGGCCTTTAAGCAAGGGAGTTCATGTCATCTTCCGTTCTACTCCCTCCGTTCCAGATTACTCGTCACTCAAGTGGATGTATCTGGAACTAAAATACATCTAGATACATCCATACATGCGACAAGTAATTCGGAACGGAGGGAGTACAATGCATGCTCTTTTATTTCTCGAATCATGTCTATTCGCACAAGTGCTAGCTTCACAGCAACACGTAGTTTATACTACTACAAATTGTTCCGTGTTAGCACCGTGTCTGTTATTGACCGATGAAACATTTTTTTTTCAGGCAGGAAGGATGACATGGAATCGACAGATGATCCGGTTAATTAGTTCTGTCTAGATATGGTGAATGGGTATGACCTGATCTACTAACCAGCTTATGTATCCCTGTGTACTATTCTCTTGTGTCTTCTTTGTAGATCATCCACTATTAGTCATTCATTTGCATTGTCGGGATTCATGCTGTTTTATTTATTTTCCTTGTCATAGTGATGACCACTATTTTCCTTTTTCATGAATGAAATATTGTAAAAATTATAGTCTAAAACTGAAGCTTGTTGTTTCCATTTCCGAACAAATGTTAATGATGTAATTTGGTGCTAAAATAAACATGTTGTCCAGATGATAACTTTCCTTTTAGCTTTTGTAGATCATCCAGTAATGGTTATCCATTCGCATTGTCAGGGCTCATGACGCTTTATTTTTTCCTTGTTACAATGATGACCGCTCTTTCCATACTTTCTATGGTTTGCGATTCAAAACAAAAGACCGCTCTTTCCTTTTTCGTGAAATGTAATTGCAATTGATAAAACCTATACTGAAGTTTGTTATTTCTATTTCCCAACAAATGATAGTGTGTAATTTTGTGCTATAAAGTAAACTTGTTGTCCAGATGATAACTCACTTTCTTTTTCACTTTTGGAAGTGAGATAGATGGACTATAATATTAGCACCTTTGTTTACTTGTTTTTTCATATGAGTCTTTCTTTTCGATGTTGAGTCAATTGTTCCTAATATTATTTAGCAAAAAAAAAAGTTCCTGATAGTATTATTATTATTACTTTTCAGGTTTCATGGAACTAATACTAGATGGAGGGTTGAACAAATACTAGGAAGGAAGCTGGCGGGAGTTTGTCAAACTCTCATTTTGGTGGAACTCTGAAGAAGTATGGGTTTATCGTAGGTTGCTGATTAATTACTACTTCATCCGGAATTAGTTGATGCTCAAACGGGAGTATCTAGCATATTCTTCTTCTCACTTTCTCCTCCATTCTTGGAGTGCCTCTTGCCCTGTTAAAAGGAAATCTTGTTGGTGATATTTTAAAAAAAACTATTCCATACTTATGATAATTAAACCGTTACTTAGTTGCAATACCTCGTTATCTCGCTTTTGCATAACAGAATTTGAAGAATCTCCCGTAACTTGGCTTTCCAGCAGCCATCATAAAGAACATACTCTCATTATAATTTTATAAACCACTTGAACTTTCGGAAAAGTGCATGAACATACCTCTTCAACTATTTTGTTTAAATATTCGTCTCAAGCCTCTCATCAAGTTCAAAAATGAAGCTCACTTTGAAATTTTCCATGCATACTTACAATTTCCTTGAATTTAACTTTAGTCAGAATGTGTGTTTTACCATAAAGGTTTTGAATTGAATCCATCGCGCTTCAGTATGGTATGCACAAGTGTTGCCTAAACGTCCCTTCGTAGCCTCATTAAACATCACAAATGTTGTTGTTGTTGTATCATCACTTACCTTGAGTTGAAGTAGGTACCTAATGTGATATTGTCATTGATTACTGGTACTGCTACTAAAAAAAATTGGGTTTGGCTTTACACAAAGAGATTAATGTTCTCAACGTTGAATTTCCTGACCAAATTGAAGTGATAGTCACTATCGTTTGTTTATGCTAAAGATCTTCATTCACCATATTTACTAAAATATTCGACACAGGAACCCACTACAGAATTTGAGGTTCATCAAATTTGAAAATCTTCTGATGCACCATCTTTGTTTCTCTATATCGCAGCAAGTAATCACATTTGTTTCAGTTAAACTTGTAGCACAGTTGTAGTCTCCTAGAGTGGTTTCGAAGAACGGTCTTCTAGAGTGTATTATCTTAACGCGAATACACTGGAATCAACATCCATCGCATAAGCCTTCTCCAGATGAGTAAAATTATGAACATACCACCATAGAATTGCAATCATTAATCTAGAATAACGTAATAGATTTTTTTTCTGTTTCAACATAATCGACCTTCTCAGCTAACATGTCAAGTATCTTTAGTTGAGCAATGCCTGGAGTATGATTGAAGTATCATAAAATCATTGGTCCATTGATCAGCATGAGTTATAATTCTGTGGAGTTGATTTGATCGCTTGATTGAGCCGATTACAGTCGGGGAAAGTCAACAGGAGAATGTGCCATTGGAGGACTGGTTGCCGCTAGAGGAAGACGATGTGGAAGTGCCACTTGTTGAGGAAGTTTGACGTTGAAGTGATGTTCACCCCAGGAAGATGACATAATGGGTATCTGAAGTCTGACAGGACAATGAATGATTGATGTTTTGGAATGGGAAGGTATTTTAAGGATGACTGAGTTGATTCACATACATGTGCACGATGGAAAGAGAGGTTGAGATCCTCCTTCACCCCATTACGTGCTCATCAATTTTCTCCAGCACATCAATTGTGCCTTCTCCATCCAATCTAGCTGTGGAAAAAAGAAAGATCCTCCTTCATCCTGTTGCATGGTCATCAACTCTTCCTCGGCATCAATTGTTTCTTCTCCTTCCAATCTACTCCCTCCGTCCTACTCCCTCCGTTCCCAAATACTTGTCTTTCCAGGCCTTTCAAATGGACACAACATACGGATGTATGTAGACATATTTTAGAGTGTAGATTCACTCATTTTGCTTTGTATGTACTCCCTCCGTTCGGAATTACTTGTCTCGGAAATGGATGTATCTAGAACTAAAATACATCTACATACATCCATTTTCGCGACAAGTAATTCCGAACGAAGGGAGTAGTCACTTGTTTAAATCTCTAGAAAGACAAATATTTAGGAACAGAGGGAGTATAATATAAGAGCATTTTTGATACTACACTAGTATAAAAAAACGCTTTTATATTATGGGACGAAGGGAATAGATTTAGAGGATGATGGTTGAGCGATCACAGAAAACAAGCAATTGGCTGGAGGTATTTACGTCTGGACGGACCGAGCTGAATATGGGCGTTCCAGTGGGCGACATGGCGACTGTTGGTTGCGCCTGGCCGGATGGAGCCGAGCACGGGCGTTCCTGTGGGCGACATAGTAGCTGCTATAATGGTTGTTGTCAACTTGGAGATGAAAGATGGCACATACTCCCTCCGTTCCTAAATATAGGTCTTTATAGAGATTTTACTATAGACTACATACAAAGCAAAATGAATGAATCTATACTCTAAAATGCATCTATATACATCCGTATGTGGTTTGTAGTGGAATCTCTATAAAGACTTATACTCCCTCCGTTCCAAATTAATTGACCTCCATTTGTCTAGACACGGATGTATCTAGACACTAAACAAGTATAGATACATTCATATCTAAACAAATGAAAGTCAAGTAATTTGAAACGGAGGGAGTATTTTGCATGCAATTTGCTACCGCCATGCAAACGACAGAGGATTGGATAAGTAATTATTGCAGCAAAGCACCAAGAGAAGAGGATGGAGCAATTGATCTCTTTATACGATCTGCAGCAGAAGAGGATGGAGCAATTGATCCCTTTACACGATCTGCAGCAAAGCACCAAGATAAGAGGATGCAGCAATTGATCTCTTTACACGATCATGAGAGTTTGGTTATATTTTGGCAGATTGTATCTCTACACGACCGTGAGAGTTTGGTTCTGTTGAGATTGTATCCCTCATTGCTGTGAAAAAGAGAGATTGTATTCCTGACCAAGTTGCAGTCGCGTCAAAGACATGCAATTGCATTGGGGAGCAACACTTGTAGTTGTGTGTCTAGTGCCATACATGCAACTATCCACTCCCCTCGGCAACAAAACACCTCATAGTTGTAGTGGGGGCAACACTTACAGATCTGTGCTTAGTGGCAGACATGCAAACGCTCCCCCTCCATTGACAAAAAAGTCGCCGAGTTACAGTCGAGGAGGACACTTGCAGTTGCGTGCCTAATGGTAGACATGCAACTGGCCCCCTCCCCACAACAAGACACCACCTAGTTGCAGTCGTGTTGAAGTCATGCAGTTGTAGTCGGGGGCTACACTTGCACTTGGAGGCCTAGTGACAGATATGCAACTAATGCCCCTCTCCCCAACAAAACACCACCCTATGTGCCCAGCCAATGGCACGGGACCTCCTATATGGCGTCGTACGCGCCGGCGGCCACGGGAGCGCGCACCCTCCCTACGCGACCTCATGGGCGGCCACGGGAGGGAGCCCCTTGTCTTTTTTGTCTTTTTCCTGCTTTCAGCTTTTCTATTTTTTAAAAATAATTCAGGATTTCAAAAAAAAGTTGCAAATTATTGAATTGTTCGTGAGTTCAGAGATTTTTTGTGGTTTGAAAAATGTTCAGCACATCATAAATGCTTATGGATTCAAAAGATGTTCGCAATTTCAAAAATAATATTCAACTATTCAGTTTTTTTACAATTTAAAAAATGTTCATGTATTTCTAGGAAAATGTTCATAATATTAATAATATGTTCGAGAATTTTGAAAAATGTTACCAAATTTTACAAAATGTTCACCAAATTCAGAAAATTTCAAAACATGTTCACGTTTTCCAAAATATATACACAGTTTCTAGGAATGTTTGTGAATATGAAAAATATTCATGATTCAGAAAAATGTTTATGGATTTAAAAAATGTCTAGGATTTTAGAAAAAATGTTCACGATTTCAAGAATGTTCATGATTTTGAAAATATGTTCACTTTTTACAAAAAATTTGACAAATTTCTAAAAACTGTTCACCAGTTCACAAAAAATGTTACTGAATTTAAAATGTGTTCGGCAATTTGAAAAATGTTCAACTGTCAAAAAATGTTCACAATTTGAGAATATTTGTTCGCAAATTTGAAACATGGCTGATAAATAAGAAATAGGAAAGGAGAAAAAAAACATAACATTATCATATTTAGCAAATAAAGAAACAAGAATAAAAAGGAAAACATAAAAGAAAACATAAAAATGAACAAAAAAAGAAAAGGGCAAAGAAAGAAAAAAAGAAAGAAAACCATAAAAACCTGTTGGAGGTGAAACCCGAAATGGCTGGCCCATTGAAACAGCAGCGCACAAGAGGGGTATG